CCATTTAAGGTCTTTTGGGTCAAAATGACCCCAATTGAAAATGAATGGGAAAATGAAAAAAATGACTTTTTTTTATTTTGTTTGTCAAAAAAAATAAAAGTAAATCCATTATAAATCTGAAATGTTCTACATATAAACCAAGGTCTGGTCCTAGAGCATAAATAGAAAGTAGAACAAACTTTCTATCTCATACACACACACAGACACACACACACATGTCATGACTGCAACAGAGAGCATTTTTACAGAAATTGGCAAATAAAATAAACAAAACTGGCATAAATCTTAAAACAAAAATACATTTAAATCAAGGCCTGGTCCTAGAGCATAAACACAAAGTGGAACGAGCTTTCTATCTCAACATTTAATTTATTTTGTTCTAAAATCTCTTGTTCTAAAAAAATAAATAATTGTTGATAAATAATTTTCTGAAATAAATAGTGTGTGATTACAGTCATGTCATAGTGCTGACTTGTAATGTTTATGCAAATGTATGTATAATAATTTGCAAAAACAAATAATTCAAAATATATCAGACAACAACAACAAACTCTAACTTTGACATATATATTTTGTGAATTGCATAAACTATTTTTATCATATATATCAAGTATATCAAACCGTTTAGACCGGTTTAGACAAATGAGTGAAAATGAATGAGTCTCTATGGACCTCTATTGGACAGATGTGGTCGTTGCACTTTAATTCCTCAACTATAAGAAAAACAGTTTTTCGACTAACCACCAGATGGTAGTATTTTATCCCTAACACATAGAGCAATGTCCAAAAACTATTTAGATTTAATTATCATCATCATTAAAGTGATTTTTTCTTTAAAAAATCATTTTTCATGTGCTTATTTATGGCCTAGTTATGTAATTGTGCAGTAAATATGTAAAAAACCTAAAAATTTCCAAAAAAACACAGCATTATTGTATAGTTGAGGAGTGAATAAAAAAAATGATATATAGTTTTCCATATAAAAAATGTATATTTCCGTATGCAATCACTCTTTAAAAGTTTGGGGTCAATATGACCCCAAAGACATTTTGTGTTGTCTTTTATTAAGAGTGATTAAGGGTTAATACATTTCACTGTAACTTCCGCTACTCGAATCATCTGCATAATTGTGTTCATCCTTGGGATAGACAGCAGTTTTCACCAGTCGTATTCACCCATGAATAACAAAATTATCAGAACAACACATACAATCCTAACTCCTACACATTCAGCCTTTTTCCAATTACGGACCATCTTTTTAGCTTATTACATTAATAGATTTTCTACTTATCCTGAAAACATTTGCACAGTAACAAATAAAATAATCAAAATCATCACAAAAACGAAACTTAAACCATTATTTGGACCACATTCTCCTCTAGGTGTGTTGATCATCTCGTCGCCCCATGGGCATCAGTCTTCTCCAGGGTGGCTCTTTACGAGCCGTTGCCATGGGCTTTCCCTCGTTGGCAGGGGAGGTACGTTACTAGCACGTCCTTGATCCCTCACTTTATGCTTTGTGTTGGCGTGTGTACTTGCTGAGGTTGTTTGGTGTAGTTTAAGGTGACATGTTTGGATGGAAGTGTCACAATCTCCAACCTTTCAACCATATTTATACAGTGGACCATCTCCTGCTGCTGTCACCTGTGAATGGAGACATTTAAAACAAGTGTTTTTTAGTACCGCTTGTCTAGCCGGTCGTCCCTTTTGGTGTGACCTGTGGAATTTTCACTTGTTTACCTTCCTGATGATATGCATTATGTGTTCAAAAAAAATTCGATACCGATTCTGGTACCGTGGTACCGATACCTTGATTTCGATACCGGTTCCTGAACAATACTTTCTTCAATACCAATTTTATGAAATCCATTTTAACAAGATTACATTACCTCAGAAAAACTTTGGTTTTATTTTTTCAGTTTGACTCATGCTCCTTAGCCAGTGCACAAAGCAACCAAAAAAAGCACAAAGGAACAAAATGTAACCAACTTCATACATCAGTGGAAATAGATTTCATAAAGTTTCAGTGCAAAATAATTTTTGCTTCGGTTCTGATTAATTTGGTTCGGAGAAGAGATAAAAGCCCGCCCACACTAACAATTGACTGGTTGACCTACCGAAACAGGCCAATCATGATGCTTTCTGTCTTACATGCGCTTCGCGAGGCACATACGCACACTAGCACACACACGCAAGGTCTTTCGCTCCCTCTCTCTGACGTGCGTGCACTAGTACGCATGTCGCTTTTGCGCGCTCGCTCTAGATTCCGGGAGATTTTAACTAATTTGTGGGCATCAGGGAGCCGCTATCAATATGCGGGGACTCCTGGAACTTCTGGGAGACTTGGGATGTCTGCAAATACTGCATCGCGCGCATCGAGCCTGGAGAAATGTAGCCACACTTTTGATCTGTGACTTTTCCACATCTTTAGGGGGTTGGGATGCTTACACACTTCACGTGCATCTATGGGGATTGGGACTCGGACTAGATCTGATGGCTGAGTGCGGGCATAAGGTATTCGTGTGTGCGCGGGTTGCTGGAGAATAAAACGATTTGCGGGACTCCTGCAAAATAGAATGGTTTGGGACGCTTACACACTTCACGTGAGCCACGTAATAACTGCATAACCGCGTAAACAATTGTTAGTGATTATTGGCTCACTGACGTTAACGAGTTAACCCCTTAGGTATCGAAATCTGGTACCGAACAAATCGTCATTTTTCGATACTCGATAGTATCGAAGCAATTCGGTCGGTACCTAAAAAGTATCGAACTCGTTACCCAGCCCTATGCGTTCCAAATTTATTCTCAACATTTGGCCAATTCAACAACCTGAAACATTATCACCAGATAATTTCCTGCTCACTTAATAGCACTCAGGTAGCCTGGTTCTACCAGACTCTCGTACATTTCATTTGTACAGAGAGTCTGGCCTCGCTCCATTGAGAAACGTTTACTTCCTTGTAGGCGGGTTCTCTGTTAAAGTTCAAAACTATTGGATCTGCCCAGCGTCACTCAGGATCTGCCATAGCCAATCGCTAACGTGTGGTCGTGACGTATGTCATGCGCCGAAACCGGCTGGAAACAACAAGTCCGAATTCCATATTCATAAATCTAAATATCTAAATGCTAAACCTCTCTTCCTTATATTTGTGAAAGAATTTTAAAAATACCTCTTTTCAAGTAAGTTGTCTGAGAACAAAAAAAGCCTTAAAAACATTATCTGTTTGTAATTATTTTCCTTTTTTCAGTGTCATGTAATTCTCTTAACTTGTTCATGTTTATTTTATATTATCCCCCTACTGTTTTATTTTTGTTTTGTTTTTATTATTATTTTTTGTTTGTTTTTGTATTATGTTTTCTGTTATTACTTGTGTATTGTTTTAAGCAATAAAAAAAAACAAGTCCGAATGCTCAGAGGATTATGTTTAGAATAAGATGTCTGTCAACGAGAGCTGCATGTTTTGTTCATCGAATTTAAGAGTTCAAGGAACAATTCTAAATTCTAAATGTATATTTGACACTAAGGACAGTGATGTATTCAGTCAACTGTCGAAGCTGGGTGTAATCATTAACAATACGCCGCTGCGGTCGTTTCGGATCTGCCGCAAATGCTGTACAGTGATCATCGTGCACGCCGAGCTGCCCAGCACCAACTCCTAACCTTTCTGCCTCCCTCACTTGGTCCTCCATTAGTGCAACAAGAGGAGACGACAACAACTATCGGCTTTGCATCCGATCGTTCGCCTTAGCTAACTCATTCACCACTAGCGGAGTGAGCTGGAAAATTAAACTTTTCCCGAACCCGGTGGGGAGGAGGGCCACAACATCATGGTCACCAACAACACTTAGCAAACATTGATCTTGCTCCGGCTTTAACTTCTGGATATTCGGCAGTTTTGCAACAACGGACCGAATAGATTTTCTCACGTCTTTCTCCGCTGCCATTACTGAACTCCAACTCAAACTGACGCGCTACATCAACGTCATCGTTCTCAGCCACTCCCTCTGTTCGCTGATTGGACCGGTAAAAAAATTATTTCTGGAAACCAAAGTCTACAGCACAATCCCAGACGTAGTACTGAAGGAAAATAAAATTGAGCGGAAGTGCGTAGGAGGGCGGAGCCAGGCTAGCACTCAGGGTCCTTTTCCTCTGAAAAACACTCAACCCATGATGCTCGTTAACAAAACAATTTCCGGCCTGTTGTTTGCTCCCTTAATTCAGTCATACAAACATTTTCAAAGTCATCAATGGTTTCCATCAGGTCAGGTCGTGGTGTACAGACTTGGTCAATGTCAGTCAAACAACATTCTCCCCCTTTGTTCACAATAATCATAAATCTGAGGAACTCTTTTGATAATTTGATATTGACTTGACTAAAATGTCACTTTTTTGTTGCAGTCAAATCTATAACATGTTAGTTTATCTCAACCCATGATGGACGGCGATCTACTACTTCACAATTCCAATTTACATCAATCCTTAAACTGATCCAGAAAGTAATTCAAATCTACATCATAAATGACGGAAGTAATTACTTTCAGACAGAGCTTGATGACCAATCAACTTAAAGCTCGTCCCATGTCCTGTATTGTCTTTTAATCAGATTGACTCAGAACTATCAGCTTCTTTAAAATTAGGAATTTACCATAACCCATTTGTAATGATAAAACACTCATTCCAGAGGTTAATGACACAATATACACACTATTCAGGCGGAGTATCAGTACCCCAAACTAACACATAAAGACAAAGTGCGGTCACCATCACACACACTCATACTAGACACTTATGTTAACTGCTCATTTTTTCTTTTTTTGCATTGATCTGAACTGACAAATTAGACATTCCTGTTAATAGATATCAATTAATCAACTATGTCCTGTGCTCACCACACACCGACTATAGGTGGAGAGGAGAGATTTGGCTATAGGGTGATGTGTGGCTAACTTACACAGAAGAGACTTTGTTGCTCAGCACATGAAAATAAACTACTTACCGTGATCTCAGACTGTGTTTAAGTGGTTTCTCCACTGTGTGGATCTTCATGTGTAGCTTCAGGTGAGTTTTAATAGAGAAACTCTTCCCGCACTGATCACACGTGTGCGGCTTCTCTCTGCTGTGGATCATCTCATGTTTTTTCAGAGATGATGGCTGATTGAATCTCTTGTCACAGTGTGAACACATGTAAGGTTTTTCTCCACTGTGGATCCTCTCATGTGTTTTCAGAGATTCTGATCGACTGAATCTCTTGTCGCAGTGTGAACACTTGTAAGGTTTTTCTCCAGTGTGAATTCTCTGGTGCACTTTTAAACAGTTTGCTGAAGTAAAAGTCTTCTCACACTCAAAGCACATGTACTCTCTCACACCAGTGTGAGTTTTCTCATGTCTATGTAAATATTCCAGCAGTGAAAAACTCTTTCCACACACAGAACATGAATGCGGCTTCTCCTTCTTATGAACTGCCAGGTGTTTCTTCAGGTATGATGCAATAAGAAATGTTCTGCCACACTGATCACATGTGAACGGCTTCTCTCCGGTGTGGATCCTTATGTGAACATTAAGGGATGATGATTGCCTGTAACTATTCCCGCATTGATCACATGTGAACGGCTTCTCTCCAGTGTGGATCATCATGTGTTCTTTAAGGTGTGATGATTGACTGAAACTCTTTCCACACTGATCACATGAGAACGGCTTCTCTCCGGTGTGAACTCTCATGTGAACATCAAGAGCATGTTTGTTTGTGAAATTGTTTCCACATTGATGGCATACATGCGGCTTCTCTCCAGTGTGGATCATCTCATGTGTTTTCAGATGTCCTGATCGACTGAATCTCTTGTCGCAGTGTGAACACTTGTAAGGTTTTTCTCCAGTGTGAATTCTCTGGTGCAGTTTTAAACCGTCCGCTGTAGTAAAAGTCTTCTCACACTCAAAGCACATGTACTCTCTCACAACAGTGTGAGTTTTCTCATGTCTATGTAAATGTTTCCGCTGTGAAAAACTCTTTCCACACACAGAACATGAATGTGGCTTCTCCTTCGTATGAACTGTCAGGTGTGACTTCAGCTCTGATGACCTAAGAAATGTTTTGCCGCATTGATCACATGTGAACGGCTTCTCTCCGGTGTGGATCCTCATGTGAACATTAAGGGATGATAATCGACTGAAACTCTTCCCACACTGATCACATGAGAACGGCTTCTCTCCGGTGTGGATCCTCATGTGACGCTCAAGACTAGCTTTGCTTATGAGACTCTTTCCACACTGAGTGCAGGTGAAAGATTTCTTGGCTCTTCTTTTCTTTAAAAATGTCTGTTTAGTCCTTGAGCGACTCAAGGGTTTTTCTCCAGGTTTGACACGATGTTCCTCCTTCACTTCTCTCAGTTCTTCTCTCTCCTCCTTCACTTCACTCAGTTCTTCTCTCTCCTCCTTCACTTCACTCAGTTCTTCTCTCTCCTCCTTCACTTCACTCAGTTCTTCTCTCTCCTCCTTCACTTCACTCAGTTCTTCTCTCTCCTCGCTCTCTTCCATCAGGTCTGACATGACAGAAACAAATTATTGAATTTATTATTATTTATTTAATTTCCAGTACATCAACATAATTCAAAGAGAGAAATATAAAATGTTAAAGGACATGAAAGTGAGCCCTGATGTAATGGTAGAAAGTAGACAACTGTTATAAAATATTATGATAATGTGATGCCTTTTTATAAATTGAAAAAAATGTCCTTTTCCATGAATGAGGTTAATTTACCTTCCAATTATTTTAAATATATTTGTGACCCGATCTGGCGAAATGAGTCGGAAGTCGCAACGTTCTATTTTAAGATATGGGCCGATTATGTGGAAAAACAATGAAATAATAGATTTTTTTTTGTGCTAATTTCAAAGAACAGACATTCAAAAATAATCTCCCAAAGTTTCGTAGTCCAGATAATTGAGTAAAGGTATTTAAATTACTATTAAAGTTTACAAAGTTTTACTAAATTCGCTGGAAATGAACATAGCTTTTCTCAACTCCTCTCGTCACCTCTGAGCATTTCCCGGGTATCCCCTGAAACGTCACTATCTCTGCTCTTTAAACGGTGTTACACGTTGTATAGAACCAACCAAAAAGCTTAGAAATGTACACAAATGCTTGCTGATCATTTGTCGATGGGAAGCCGTTTCGACTGACCGGCACGCGATTGGTCCAGCCACCCTCCTGTCACTCGCAGCGAGCGCTCTGTGTAATAAACAAGCTAGCAGATCTCCTCAGAAAGATTAAATATGATTAATTTGAGAAATGTCGCTGTCAAAAGCGAGCAAAGGTGCCAAAGCGTCATCAAGCCCCCTGCCATTGCACACTGAGTTCGCGTTTTTTTTCGTATGCGTTTTTTTATATTGATTCGGTGGCTCGGAATTGTCAAAACACCATTCAAACTGTTTGCTACGGATGCGAAAAACTTACGATTGTTTTTATATAACGGATGAAAGTTTCGTAGTGTGCACGCGTGATTGACAAATGTGAATGAGTGTAGCTATTTATCTGCAAGGAGAATCCATTACAATGTGTTTGATTAACCCAATATTTGTTGGTATCTCCGTTATGAATTTGTTACGCTGTTATTGTCAACTAGCAATACAAATAATAATACTAAGATATGATTGCATAGACTAGCATTATTTGATCTCTGTTTCCTTGTCTCTCTGCCTCTCACTTTCTCTCTCTCACACACACACACACACACACACACACCCTCTCTCTCAAGCAAAAATGTAGCACCTCTGTTCAATCTTTCTGATTTTAGTACATTTTTGTATTAAGGTAGGCCTACTGTTAAATTATTTATTCAAATAAAAACTTTAAAATAATTTGAGCTTCAGCCTGGTTTAATAGCATTTATATATTAATGTCTTTGGTCAAATTAAGCTGTAAAATAAATAGTTTATCTCTTTAAATGTAATGGATTTTGAAAGATATCAACAAAAAACGGGCAAAAAACTTTAAAAGCGGTTTTCTCAGGTTTTCAATTGGAAAAAGAGGGCGGACGACCATAATTCAAATGTGTATATCTTTACAACCATTCAAGGTATGACTTTGACTAGGATATCAATTGAAAGCTTATGGTCTCCTCTTTCCATTAATACCAAAATCTCATTTTTTAAATTTGGGTCACTGTGACTTGTTTTGCTGGATCAGGTCACATTTGATCAATGACAAAATTCTCTAACATGATATTAAAGGGGTCATATAACGCCATTTTCATACAAGTTAATTTGATTCTTTAGGGTCTAAATGAAAAGTTTGTAATATACTTTAATAAGTTAGTATTATGCCGGCGCTTGTTTCTTGTGACAAACATGCCGAGAAGCAAGAACAAAATCTGCAGTATGTCATCCATTGTTGTTTACTATGTCACTTTACTATGTCGCTTTCTTCTTCGCGCGAAAATGACGTCGATCGCTTCTTTACGGCAAACACCACGCCTATCAATAAGGGTACTGTTGGCGGTGGAAACACTAGCCGGATCATGGTTTACCGACCCGAACCGTACTGTACCGTACCGTACCGCTCAGTGGAAACGAGCCATTAGGTACCGAAATTTGGTACTGAAAAACAAGACGTGTTTCGATACTCGGTAGTATCGAGGCAATTCGGTCGGTACCTAAAAAGTACCGAACTCGGTACCCAGCCCTACCTCCAGCTGTATAAATGCATTACTGAGATTCTTTCCCATTAGAGGGCCCGTGAAACAATTCCGGTCAGATTGTGGAACTAACTTTGTAGCTGCAAGCAAAGAACTGGGATTCTCCAAAATGGTGAAGGAGCCAGAGATGCAAGAATACCTCGCCAACTGCTCATGCACATGGGAATTCAATCCGCCCCATGCTTCACACATGGGGGAGCTTGGGAACGTTTGATAGGTGTAGTGAGGAGGACTCTGGATTCAATGTTGATGCAGTATGGGACTCATCCCCTCTCACATGAGGTCCTATGCACATTCATGGCTGAAATTTCTGCAATAATTAATGCAATGCCATTAGTTCCAATCTCCTCAGACGCTGACTCACCTCTTATACTGACCCCTGCTATGCTTCTGACTGAGAAGGTTGGTGCTCCTCCATCTCCTGGGAACTTATCAGGCACTGACATGTTCAAACAACAGTGGAAGCAGGTGCATAGCCTTGCTGACAAATTTTGGTATCACTGGAGACGTGAATATCTCCCAACACTACAAATTCGTCGCAAATGATATAGTACTCAACCTAACATTCAAGAAGGAGATATTGTACTTCTAAAAGACAATCTGAGTCCTTGTAACAAGTGGCCTATGGCTCTTGTGTCCCAAGTATTTCCAAGTACTGGTTCAGTTGAAAGTGACTAAAAATGGATCTGGAAAGGAAGTAAAGCATCTCAGACCAATTACAGAGGTTGTTGTTCTGTTGCCTAAGGACAATTAAGACTTAAATAAGACATCCTTCAAGTTTACTTCTCACTTGTATTATTTTGTATAGTTGTTTTGGTTGTGGCGCTCCCCTGTGGCAGTTCTCTAGAAATATAAGTGATCACATTTCATGCAGTCAGCTTCTCCTTGATCTTTGGATGCCATCCTTGGTTTTGCATTTGTAAAAGCATCATCTGTAAGTTAATTCTTCATTACATAATGCTTGATGATATATATTTGCATATATTTGTGATACATAATGCTTGATGATATATATTTGCATATATAATGAAATATTAACTTACAGATGATGCTTTTATGCAACACTAGAGCATACCACAGTGCCGACTGTGATACTGACCACTCTCTGGTAGCCTCCAAGATTAAACTGAAGCCCAAGAAACTTTACCATAGGAAAAAGAAAGGTCAACCAAAGATACCTGCAAAACTGCATATGCTGACAAAAACCAGGAGTTCATCAAGCGACTTGAAGAGACTCTGGCCAAAAGAGAAGAGCTGAATGCAGAAGATAAATGGAATTTCCTCAGGAATACCATCTTTGACTCTGCACTCTTGACATATGGTAAGAAAGAACACAAGAGCACGGATTGGTTTGATGCCAATATTATGGAATTGGAACCAGTCATTGAAGCAAAACGGGATGCGCTGATCAACTACAAGCGAAACCCCAGCCAGCAAAACATGCAAGCACTGAGAACTGCTCGCAATAAAACACAACGAACAGCAAGACGCTGCGCAAACGATTACTGGCTCCAACTCTCAGACAACATCCAGGAAGCCTCAGACACTGGTAACATTAGGAAAATGTATGAGGGGATTAAGCAGGCAACAGGCATACCAACAAGGAAAACTGCGCCCCTGAAGTCCAAGACAGGAGATATCATCACTGACAGGGACAAGCAAATATGTCGTTGGGCTGAGCACTACCTGGAACTTTTCTCCAAAGAAAACATCGTTACCCAAGAAGCCCTCGACAGTATTGAAAATCTGCCTGTGCTGGATGACCTGGATACTGAGCCAACTTTGGAAGATCTCGGCAAAGCCATCAACGAACTAGCCAGTGGTAAGGCACCAGGTGAGGATGGCATACCACCGGAAAACCAATCAGAGCAACGCAGTAGGGTTTTTTTTTTTTATGAGCTACACAAATTGTCAACAGAAATCAACTACACGCACGCTGGAAGAAGTAGTAAAATAATGAGTGTTGCTTCTTTTACTTGGTCCTCCATGAGTGCGACCAAAAGAGAAACCACAACGACCACAGGGTTTTCATTGCGTCCCATCTTCTTAGCGACCATCAGAGCCAGCTGATAAAATAAACTTTTGCTGAATCCCGTAGGAAGGACGGCAAACATCTTTCTGATCGACAAATGCCTTGATTGCAGTTCTTTGTTTGTCTTTTAAAATGAATGCGCTGTTGATTTCTTTTACAACAGACGCGATAGCGGAATCTCTACATCTCAGTTCTCCAGCTGCAGTCATCTCTGAGGGAAACCAGTTCAACCCAAGCACTCGTTGATAACGTGATGATTACGCAACTGCAGATCATCTGTCCATCATCGTATAAAGCCCGCCCTGGCAGTTTGATTGGCCGACCATTTCTGAACCGATCATAATTACTCCTCAATGGATTGAGTCCAGACCGAACTTCCCGACCAAAAAATGTTGTGGGCAGGGTTCGGGCTGGCATCCAGGCTACATATTCGGTGTTGATGAGAAGAAAAAAAAAAAACTACGAATGCGGATTAGAACTCATAACCTCTGACACACTTGGCAAAAGATCTACCACTAGACCATTTAAGAACTCAAACAAAATCTGCGGATCGATGGATTTATTTACGGGTTGAGCAGAGAGGCTGCACAGTTTGACAAGTTAGTACCCAGCACTTCTGAATATGCACTAACGAATGCGTCTCTGTCCCCAGCGCATTTCAAACCACACTGCCGCCCGTGGTAACGCACCGCATTTAACGTCCAGTAACGTTAACGGCGTTGTAACGACGGGAAAAGTAATTAGTTAGATTACCCCGTTACTGAAAAAATATCGTCGTTACCTAACGCCGTTATTCCAAACACTGCTCAGGAATTTTCCCGCAGCACTTTGTAACTAAGGCGGCCGCCTAAGCAACACACGCCTTCCGCCTTAACTAACGTTACGTCGTCAAAAAAATGTATGAGTGATATCCGCCGTGTTACTCTGTCCTGTTTAGAGCTTAGATTCTCTGCGGAACTTGGGCAGATATTTCCTGCCGTCATCCTCGGGCCGGGCCATTGATCTAGAGACTAGATTTGATGGCCGAGCGCGGGCGGTAATGCACTCACTTTGTGTGTGCGGGCTGTGGGATAATAAAACGATTTGCGGGACTCCCGCAAAATATAAATATCAATGAATAAAACATAAAAACAAATAAATTGTTATTCATCTGTTGCAGAAAAGAACAACTAAAACAAAATAGAAACGATTTACAGGCCAGAGTTTCTATTTGTAACATGTTTGCAGCGTTGAGCGATGAAGCCAATCACAGAAATATGTGTTGATTTCTTGAACACAATGGCCAATCAGAAGCATTTAAGATAGACTCCCCTCACCGCTCAAAACTGACTTTTTGTTCAGTGCTGAATTCTGCATGCTGGCAAATCCTCCGATTATAACAAACAAAGTGTAGATATTAAGAAATATTCATTGTGCAATCAGCTTCATTGATAATAACAGAGATGTTTGAGATCGCGATGATGTCAGCTTTTTAGGAATTATTAAGGGGGCGCACTTTGCGCGCTTTCAGTCATGGCAAACCATGCACGTGATAATAATAAAGCCTGCTTGCTTTTATGTTAAATTAACAGTTGTTTGTAAATTCCCACCTCTGCATTTTGACAATGTTGTTTTGCACTTCATTGTTTTATAGTTGTATAGTGTTTGTTAAAATTCAGTTGTTTCAGATGTTGTTTTGCACTTTTTAGCACAAATATTTTAAAATATTTGTATAGTTTGTTAAAATTGCACATTGTAACTGATATTTTGGAAAGCTGGTTGTTTATAAATCTAAATTGTTATTTAAATTTAATATAGTGTTTAATAATTGTTACATTTAGTACAGAGCCTGTAGTCTATCACACAAACATCTGATCTGATGTTGACAATCAATATAAAAATGTCTCAAACCTCCATTTACTGACCATTTGTTGAAGAAAAACCAGAACATTCTGTACCATTTCATAGTTTAACTGTTTATCTAAATGTGATGAAGTGCTTGAATGTTTCTAACATGAATGTTCTTCAGCATCATGAATGAATGAAGAATAAACACCAACCTCTTTGTTCTTCAGGATCTTCAGTGTGTTTCATTCTGCAGGGTTCTGGATCACTCATGTTCTCACTGTCCTCTTTAATAAACTCAGTCTTGGCAGATTTCAGCTCTTCCTGATGCTTTCATGCTCGTCTTCACTTGTAGCTGATGGGAATTTACAGCATTTATTGGGGAATTACAGTAGGAGGAGCTTCACTGATGATGTGATTGCAGTGGGAGGAGCTGATCTGCCAAAATAAAAAATAAAAATTACGGAGTTGTTTTTATAATAAATGACACTAAGCATTTATGTCTGTCTATTGTTGTAGCAAAAATTCTGTTAAACATCATCACTGCGTAAGAGACAACTCGGAATCAAATTATTAAAAGAGAAGTATTTATTCTTGCAAGAATAGGCCCAGTCGCCAACACAGCAGTTACCCTGTGGAGTGAGTGAGACACAGACAGGAAGAAATGGGCAATCTTTATGCTGCTCTTCAAGGTCCTTTTCCCTGCAGAGCTTCCCAGTAGTTTTCCACAGACAAAATGCCCTTTACTGCTAGCTTTGATATATCACTAACTAACCCTTTAAGCCCTCCTTAACTAGATGACCTTCTGTTTAGAGCAGCGAAGAAGCAGCACGATAGCAGTATGTCCGCTGTTTAGCAGTATTTCAGACTGGACCAACCAGCCAGGAAAACGGCGACATGTCTCGTATGCCATACTGCAATTTCGAGGGGTGGAACAAGTATAAGCAACTTCAACACGAGTAACTTAAAGCATTTGAAGACGCGTCACCCCGCAGCACACGATTACACAAAGGCAAGGGCAGAGAAGAATGAGCCGCGCCAGAATCAACAATCTCTGAAAGCTTCATTGAAACGAAGAGAAAAGTTTTCAAAAGACAGCCAACGAGCGATAAATATAACCGACAACATGTATTGAGTTTATTGTTCTGGATGACCAGCCGCGGTCAAAACTGAAATGCCGTTTTTGGACTTTAAATTATAAAGAGATTATTTTCTTATATCATTCATATATATAGATTTTTTAGATTCCTAGATGTATTTGTTGCACTTTTTTTTTATGCAGTTATATTATAAAACTAAAATACCTTTTTCAGTTTACAGTATTAGATGTGTGGTTGCATTTTAAGTTCTTTTTAACTTAAGAAAGATAAATATGTTGCTGTGAAATGTATGTCAGATAATAAAAATACTCTAGTTCACTGTATGTATTTGTTCGTGTTTAATTAAGGGATAAGTCTGAAACACGCAATAAAATAATTCTATCAGTTCATACAGTGCTAGTATGAATTGCAGCTGTATAGATACTGTACACACCCAGGTATCGGATCAGTACTCGGTATCGGCCGATTCCCTGAGTCCAGGTATCGGAATCGGTATCGGGAAGGGAAAAAGGGTATCGGAACATCTCTAGTTCTAGTGTCTCGCTCCAGCACTTCAGGTGTATAAACATAAATACATTTCAGAGAAGTTCCTCCTTCTCACATCAGACTGCAAATGATAAAACCATGTGACATTCCTTTGTCATATCCACTGAAAATCTAAAATTTTCTACAACACTATCTATTTATCGTACAGTAACTGATGGACAGCTAATGATCACAACCTAAGAATAAAAAACAAACAGAAACAAAAGCACAATAGGAAAAAAGAAAATTACAAAACGTATGTGGAACGCAACAAGTAATTAATATTGGCCTAAGTCACTTACATTTTAGACACGATACTGACTGTTTTTGTTCCATTTCAGCAGCGAAAATAGTTCCAAACAAAGATAATAGAAGAACCGTAACACATCTCACAGAAACACATAACCGTGACTTCATCTGAATGATTCAGAGCTTTGAACAATTTTTTTTCAGTCAAAGATTCAATTAACTGTTAGAAATAAAGTCTTCCAACACAAAGTGCCTTTTCTCTCCATCCTTTTATTGAGCGTAATGAATGAATAAAACAAAGGAAAAAGACCAGCGCTGGGAAGCTAGGAAAATAGCTTAGCTCCCAAATATGAAGCATTTTTAAAACGATTAGGGGGGAAGGACCATTATAAAGGTTCAAATATCATAAATATGCATATTTTTTTTTTGGACAAAAAACTTAGTAAGACAAACAGAACCTCAGATACTTTGATTGTTCGATCCATCAATTCATCATTTATTGATTTAATATGGCTCAATATAAGTATTTAGCAGTATATTTTCCAGTATATTTTAATAATGACAGATCGATTCTGTAGAACATTGATTATATGTTCTTAGCTATATCTGAATCGCAATTGTACTTTTGGGGAATCCGTAATGAGGACACGACACCTGGACAGTGGTAACGTTAGTTGGTCCAAAAACTGCATGTGATTAATCCAGTTCTCCAGTAAACTATCAACGTTATACAAAACCGAGTTATGTGTCCGTCATTCAACAGATTCCTATCAATTCCACTCACAGATCTCAAACTTTGATTTTTGACTTGACATTCAGTAACAGTTCTCACTCCAAACATCGAAACAATCACACAGATGCACATAAAAGCACTCAAAATCTCTCAGGTCTGAAACTTACTCATATTCTCATCATGCTCGCTGCTGCTGCACTAAATGTGTATTTCAGTGAGAAGACCCAAGAAAAGACGCACAAGTATCGCTGTGATCGATGAAAACAACACAGAAATGAGTCGCTTAAACAAACTGTATAAAGTGTGTGATGGTTGTGTAAAGATGGTGAATACCGTGAACTGCTCTCCTCGCCTCAGAAGACTCGACGCTAATTTTTCTGGCCGCTCTGTGCGCTCGCTGAGGCTAGTCTACCTCCTCCCTCTCAAACATGACACTGGCTTTGAGTGTGACCGGCTGATGATTGGCTGTTCTGCCTTAAGTCCCGCCTCTCTTGGTGTGTTGCTTGCTTTATCGGTCAGCTCGTGCCGAGGAGTCGGGCGGGAACTTATGGTTATTGTTATTTACATCTCCCTTTCCCAGGTACTTTGAATGAGTGTTTGCTTTAGAGGTTTTTAAATAAGCTTGATATGTGTTTGGGATTAGGACGATGTTATGTTTATATTTTGTTGACATGTTGAGTGTTTTTGGTATTATATTTCGTTTTTTAGACTAAACAGCATAAGAGTTTAATTAAGTAGGCATTCTGTTTGTGCTGCGTGATTTAAAGAAAAGTGCGCACTTTGCTCACGCGATCAGCATGGTGATCTGGTGTTTTCTCCAAAATAAAAACTCAAGGGTTTATTTCTTGCAAGTGAAGAAATTAGGTCAAAAGTATTGTAATTTTCCTATTCTATAGCGTACTATAAAATATACTTTTGAAACATTCATTTTCATATACAGTAGCAACCGCTAAATTAAAGTTTTATTTGCAAGTACTGATAATATGCGGGAGTTCGCATGGTCTTCCTTTCCTACGCACCTATCACCTACAGGTGTGCGATGGCGTTTGTTTATACAGTAGCATCAGAGCCGATCCTGACCTCCCTGGGGCCCTAAGCAAAAATCTGTTAATGGGCCCTCCTACCTGACCCATGAGCCATGTAAGCCATTTGCCATTGTCACACAGTCACACCTGACACCCCCAGTTCTCCCACTACAATCCTCCCTCGTTTAGTAAGTACTAATAAAAATGTAATTCCTGATATCAGAAATAGACATCTTTTATATTAATATGAAAAATTCACATTTTAAAATAGTACAATTTTAATTATTGATATAAAAAAATGCATCCTGTGAATTAATAAAAGCTAAAATGGCTTGCCATTGCATGTCACTGTGTTTTAAATGATAAAAGCTTATGTGCATCCATATTGGCCAGTATGTCCAGCCAATCAACATTTTAAATGCAAAATAGTCAATGTCAATAGATTGCTTTCCATCTTGCTTTATTGCAGAGTTGTAACTAAATTGACTGGGAGACTAGATAATCTGTTTGAAAAGTATGAGCGCCTAATGAGGAGTGCCATCAGGCCCATATTGTACTGGTAACTGGTCCCCATAGATGTTTTACTGGAAAGTAAAGTAAACAGAAAGCATGTCTCTATGAACTGTGGACTCCATGTGTGTGGCCAACGGTGCCAATGAGGGAATAATGCATGACCATTCAAAATGGTAAATGACGATGTTAGTCTAACAAATGTTATATCTCTTAGACTGCTATTCAATCACATTGAAACTTAAAACAAATTATTAGGGATGTCCCGATTCGATCACGCGATCGGAAATCGGGGCCGATCACGTGGTTTGAGACTCGATCGGAATCGGACGTTATCTCCCGATCAGGACTCGGATATATGTAAATTAGGGCTGTAACGGTACATGTATTCGTAATTATTGAACCGTTTCGGTACGAGGCTTCCGGTTCGGTACGCATACAAACCGAACGATACCTAGGACCATTTTTTCCTGCAGACAAAATCCGCGCTGGCGCGATCACCACAACGTTGCGCAACATCAAATGGCAAACGTAATGAAAGCGGAACGAAACTGCGCTACTCATTGTATTGTGCTTAACGGACCCTTTACCAGTTCGGACCATCTGTGCAGCGAGAGATCAAGCGACACTGTGCTAAGAGATCCTGAAGAGATCCAGTGAAGAAAACATTTGAATTCGCCACTGAAGTAATAACATTTCTGCGAGATTTAGTGAGAAGCATTCACATTTCTCCGTTATTAACCGTAGATCTCTATTAGATCAAACAGCGCTGACGTGGACACCAGGAGAAACATTGTGCCGTGAATGAACATGAATTTAATGTTGCACTTCAAAACTCAAATATTATATAAATATATATTTAAATGTTATTTTTAATGTGATTACCAAAACATTATTTGTTCATCCTTCAAAGATTACCCCCATTTATAAACCTGAAAGTTTCAAGATGTAGGAAAACTCAAACTTATTTAAAAATAGTTTTTCTTTTAATAAATAGGAAATTTCTCTGGCATTTCTTTCTTTTTGCTGTATCGTATCGAACCGCATCGCAAATTTTGTGTACTGTTACACCCCTAATGTATATACACTCACCGGCCACTTTATTAGGTACCCCATGCTAGTAACGGGTTGGACCCCCTTTTGCCTTCAGAACTGCCTCAATTCTTCGTGGCATAGATTCAACAAGGTGCTGGAAGCATTGCTCAGGGAGTTTGGTCCATATTGACATGATGGCATCACACAGTTGCCGCAGATTTGTCGGCTGCACATCCATGATGCGAATCTCCCGTTCCACCA